ATAACTGAAGACATCCATTGCAGGAGAATGTTGATTTGGGTAGGGAGATTCTGGAGCTGAATAGACAGGATTACCAGGATTGCTTGTTTTAGCAAGAGGCTGGAGACTAACTGTACCATAATCAGATACTTTAGCCTTCCAACAATAACCATACCCTCCCATTGGTTGAAGGAGTACATTAGCACTGCTGACATCTCTATGTAGTATAGGATGAGGCTTGAAGAGATGAAGGTAATTGAGAGCACAGGCTACATCTAAACTGATGCTCAGTATCGCAGGATAGGCCACTCCTCCACTCTCTAATTCCATTCTTAGGCTCGTCGGCATTAGCTCTGTCAGGATGATTGCATTACCCTCTGTAGTCGCTCCTATGAACTGAAGGAGGTTAGGATGACGTATTTTAGAAGCAATATTCATTTCCCGAGAGAATGTCCCAATGTTATAAGGAGAGATGATGACTTCGTAGAGACACTTTGCAGCAACTTTCAGACCACGAAAATGAACCACTTTGACCTCTCCCCATCCTCCTTTACCAAGGACTACCTCTGTCATTGTAATCTCTCTTCTATTCACTACCCAGGAAGACTCTGCCACTTGTATCTGCTCTTCAAGTTGTCTCTCTCTTTCTTGGAACTCTCTCTCTCTTTCCTCAAGCTGTTGCTCTCTTTCTTGAAGCTGTCGTTGAAGATCCTGTTCTCTTTGCTGGCCACCTTCTTCTACTTGCCTTTGAAGCTGTCGCTCTCTTTCTTGAGATTCCCTAAGTTGCCTCTGTAAATCCTGCTCTTGTTCTCTGGCCAGTAGAATTTCCCTCTCTCTTTCTTGCTGTACTTGCTGAAGTTGTCTCTCCTTTCCTTGAAGCTGTTGCTCTCTTTCTTGAGACTCTCTCTCTCTTGATCGAAGTTGCTGCTGTGCTTGTTGAAATTGCCTCTGAAGATCCTGTTCTCGTTCTCTGCCCTCTTGAATTTCCTTCTCCCTTTCTTGCCCTTGTTGCTGTGCTTGTTGAAGTTGCCTCTCCTTTTCTTGAAGCTGTCGTTGAAGATTCTGGTCTCGTTTTCTGGCCTGTTGAATTTCCCTCTCTCTTTCTTGCTGTGCTTGTTGAAGTTGCCTCTCCTTTTCTTGAAGCTGTTGTTGAAGATCCTGCTCTCGTTCTCTGGCCTGCCTCTCTTTTTCCCTGGCCTGTTGAATTTCCCTCTTTCTTTCTTGTCTTTGTTGCTGTGCTTGTTGAAGTTGTCGTTCTTTTCCTTGAAGTTGTTGCTGTAGTCTGTTTCTAACTTCTTCCTTTTCTCTTCTCTCCTCCTGTAGTTCCCTTTTCCTTTTTTGTAGTACACGTCTCAGACGGTCTTCTCTTCTATCCTCAGGTTGAACAGGTTGAGATGCTTTCCATTCTCTTCTCCTTTCTTGTAGTTTCTCTTGATACTGGTCCAGAGGTATTATACTAGTAGACCAATCATTATTACTAGTATATCCTATACAGTAACACAATAGTTGAATTAATGACAGTACATACACATGTACATGTACATGTATAATTATAATATGTCAGTTAACAAAACAAAAGGCTATATTTTACTCTATAATTATTGTATATGTTCAATACCGTATAGCCAGAAAATTTGGCGGTCTAAAACTTTAAATTGGCAGTTTTGCATCAAAATTGCCTAAATACAATATTGGCAGTCTCTTGATTTCGCAGTTTGAAACTACCCCTTGGCAATCCTTGCCCACAGTCTTGACTGAAATAGTGAGAAATACTGCTATTTTGGCATTCTTTAGTATCACGTGCTCATGACGGAATCCGCCCTTCATTGCAATTATTATTGGCAGTTATACAATATTGGCGGTTTTATTTTGAACCACCAATCTATCAAATTTAATTCTTTGCCAAATTTTCCGGCTATATGGTATATAAAAATTATGTACATGTATATTCAATACACTTGTATTTACATGTGCTCACTGAATTCAATAACTGCTGGATCACTTAAGACTGTTACATTAAAATAGCCTCTCTTTCCTCCAAACACAATTATCCAGTTAGTGGTTGCAGTCACACTCCAAACTGAGAGAGAATGATACTGTCTATCAGTGACATTCTTTGATATATTAAACTATAATAGAAGAAATATACAGTAATTAATAGATTAAATATTAGTAATGATTTTGTTTTTAGTGTATTATTATATTCTATTCCTCATTACTGTACTGTATTATACATGTATATTTACAAACCAAACCCACAAACTATAAGCCACGCCCTAAATTAATACCATATACCATGAAATTTATGTGACAAAAATTTTTTTGCAAATCTCAGATTTCATGAATAAATTTTTACAAATAGCTTACAAACTGCACCACATAGTAATGGAGCTGTAGAACTTTAATTTTTGCGACAGAGCAAAAATGACAAAATTGAAAATTCACAAAATTTTTTGTTGCAAAAATTTCATGGTATACAGTATAGTGCAGTAATTATTAATTACCGTAGGTCGGGTTATATTCGCGGCTGCTAATATTCGCGGTGATAAAAACTAATAAAGAAGTTCAATTAAATACCATGGAAACCAATTGATTGTTGCTATGACAATTAACCACGTGTTTATACATTTATAGTGTTCAGCAGCTAATCAGCTATTCTTGAGCAGTTTTAGTGGAGCCATCCAGACTCTAGTTCTCTATCTGTTATCTCCTTGTATAGACCTTCAAGCTCTTTGCTGCAAAATCAGTGGTGGTCGGTCGGTCATGATTATAAACCACACCCAAATCAATAAACACTAACTAGAATGGGTGGAGATTCCAAGACACAGCAAGGCAGAGTGAGTAGAGTATTTCTGAAAAGAACTGGCTAAAGCAGTTTCGAAGAGTCCAAGGATTAGTAACAGCAAGATTAGATAATATTTTAGGGAGAGTGTCTAACTGCCCTATACTGCATGAAATATGTGTGCATACAGTTTTTCAGGTCATTCCCGTATTCTTTAGTTTACTTCCATTAGCTCATTTACACCAGAGAATGGAGTTTCAAAAAATTAAACTTAATATTTATTATTAATAGTTATACGTTTAATAAAATTAACCATCAGTCACGTGACCACGTAAAATGGCGGCTTCAAGTAATGACTTGGTCTCTGATGACTTCTCTGACTTTATGCTGGAAGATCTTTATGATGAAAGCATTAAGATAACTACTTATGTGTGTAATAGGCATGTTTATAATGGAGGGAGATGCTTGATACTATCTCACAGAGACATGTTTGATCATCCTCCTGCTGGCCACTTGACTCTCTAGTCCTCTTTCTTTTTTGTGGCTTTTCAGCTGAAGTGCTGCAGTCTTGTACACCATCATTGTCTGGACTGTAAGCAGTTTCTTCTTCCATGAAAAGCTCATCCATTTTGCATGTGGTGTTGGGCGGGGTTTTGACTATTGATAACACACCTACCAATGCTATTTTCGTTCTGGTTCTGGATCCAAAATGCTAGAATTGCTAGTGCCATTTGGCTTCAAAGAGCATTTGCTAAATAGGTGAGAGTAAACTGTACGCGCATTTCATGCAGTATAGGGCAGTTAGACACTCTCCCTAAAATATTATCTACTCTTGGTAACAGCAAGAAGAATAACAGCTCAAGAGCACTGCAACCTGGTGCTGTGCTTCAATAACGTGAAGTTTTCAATTAAAATAGCATCTAGTTGCTATGGTAATTGCTAGCCGTGGGAAAAAATCGCAAATATTAGGAGCCGCAAATATAACCCGACCTACGGTATTTACAATATACATGTAAGTACAATACTTGATTACTAGTACATAATAATAACCAGTTATGATGTATTGCTATTATATTAAGTACTTACCAGTTCCTTCCATGATTTATTGTTAATATCAAATATCCAAATATCATTAGTACCATATCCACCCATCACTAGTAGGTGTGGTCCTGAGCTAGTGTTAATCAATACACTGGAATGAGCACACCTTTCCTTAGGCCATTGTACTGATCCTCCAGGATTAGATAACTTGGAACAATTCTAAATTAATAAAATAAAAATAATTATCATATACCACACCCACACACTCAGTGTTATGAATAATAATACACACATACAATACATTATTAATTAATGTAATTATACAAATAATATACTCACCGCTAATTTATCAGTAAAATTAAGAATATATACATTGTTACTAGATCCATTAGCAGTGCCACCTCCAAATAATATAGCACTGGAATTATTAATTGATGTTAAAGTGAAGTCATAAATAGGAGGTGGTCTATCTCCAGTGACAGTTGGTGATATCCATTGTCCTAAAAATATCAATAATAATAATTAGTGTGAATGGAATGCATTGGGTAGAGCAAACTAGTTGATATTTCTTTGATCATATTATCAAATAATCAGGATTGACAACCATGAACAAACGAGACACTTACGGTGCGTGGCCTCGCCCCTAGGTCCTATAGCTGTTATGGTGCATGGCCTTGCTGCAATAGCTGTTTGATACCAACATTACAAGAACTTTGGCATGAAAAGAGTCTGCTCAACATAGCTTCCTGCAGTTGCACTTGCTCTTGAATACCTGCAGAAGTAGCAGCACTGCAGCACACAGCTCCAGCCCATCCCATGCATGTACATGTAGCTTGAAAGGTGTGGCACATGATTACATCATCAACTGCAATGATGGCAGCAAGAAGACGATGTGAGAAAGAAGCTTAACTTTTCTTTACTAATCAGCAATATATGATAAACTTGCTGACAGAAAGTTGTTGCCTTCATGTATTTGAGATAGTATAGGTACTTTAGTACCTATAGTCCAGTAGGTTGTGGCTCCAGTGCTTCACAAACCAGAACCAGGACTAGTATAACTCTTCACCAGGTAAAATTTAAAGAATTCTGTTCATATTTTTTGAAGGCCATGTTCTAATCTACTGGAAAATGCTACCAGCAAATGCAGCAATCTCTAACAGAATGGAACTTGACTCAAATACTCAATTTTCTTACTTTGAAGCTTCTTGTACCTAGCGCTTATACCGTATAGCGGGTTTTATTCGAGGATAATAAATTTTGCAAATGACCAGTATCCGGAAGGTCACAGAATTAATTTTCGTGAATTTTCACTATTCTGCCATCTTGTACCATATTCAATTGATTTTCAAGGGATTTAATTTTGCGAATCTTGAAAAATCTGGGAAATTCGCGAAATTTGTTATCCTCAAAATAAACCTGCTATACGGTATTTGAGCAACACAAAACAGTTAAGCAAGACTTTTCCAGGTCAAAAAGGAAGATCTAGAAGCTAGCTTGTAACACGCTGTGCTAAAGTTACAGTTTTTTAAAGATAATTTTCAGTTGTACAGAATGAATAAAAGACAGACAGACACAACAAGTACCTGTACCTTGCGTAGGCGAGGCCAACAAGCAAGCAATTCTTAATGCAACCAGTCTGAGTGGAGAACCACCAAACAATAATTCATTATATTAATATAAACTGTATGTGCTCTGACCTGTTGAGAGTTTATAGAAATGGATCTCATTGCATCTTTCACTACTGTACTGGGCACCAGGTTGTTTTGGTGTATTATTAGAAAGTGGTCCAGCTCCTCCAATTACTACAAGATAGTCCTTACCGTTTACTTTTATTGCTATCATGTCACAGTAGCTCTTCTTCATAGGACCATGACGAGATGTAGTAGGAGAGAGTTCCTTCCAGTTAAAGGTATCAACATTAAAACTGTATAAAATAATATATAATATTTATGAGTAACTATTACATGTATGTTTATCTGTATAAACATAATATATAATACATGTATGTATGTATATGATATACCACGCTGGTGAGGTATATAAGCCATAAACACCAAACTGGCGTGGTATATTAAATCTATTTTCTGAGGAAGCTACACCTCAAATTTATATGGAACACGTGTCTGAAACGTACTGAGCATGCGCAGTAGGGTCACATGGCAGAAGCAATTCAAAATGGCCAAGAACAAGGAGAACAAAGATCCATATCCATCAAGGAAACACAGGGTTCCTTAGTCCATTAAAGGCAGGAGACAGGAGGAAAGATTTGCTACTGTGTCTGAAGAGGTCTTTAGCAATATGGCAAAATGCAAATGGCCAAAAACAGCAAGAAGACGGACAGTACTTGTCACCAGCCACTACTCAGTCCACTGAGAAGACTGAATTAACTTACTCTCAAGTCCCAACTGTTCAAAGGAGTTACTGGCCGTGTGTTTATACAAATGAAACTCGTAACAAGAGCGATAAGCCGTACCAACCTACAATCCAGTTGCTTCTCTCGGTAATTCTTCGTCACATAAGCCAGGAAACAACTTACATGTAACTTAGAGTCTTAGACTTGATGCTTTTATAATAATCACCATTGTATTTTATCACTTGTATTTTATATTTTTTTCAATTAAAATTCAATGCTAGTCTAGTGTCAACCACACCCAGGGAGTATAAACATCAAAGGGTTAGATACCAACCCTAGGGAGCATACGTGACATATATTATACCTACATTTTTCTTTGATGTGTGGCTTCTTCAGGGTATAAGTAAACATAATATACGTATGTATATTTTTTCAAAGTCCATGAAAATAAAATCTGCGAAAATCGATTCACTACAGTTCAAGATGGCCGAAAAGTAAAAAACCACGAAATTAAAGCCACAGAATTAATTTTTGAAAAGATCTGAGAAATTTTTGGGCCACAAAAATTTTCCGCTTTACGGTAACATAAATAATGATATAGTCTCGCTAGTCAGATCATTGCCATTTAGGATTTACCTGTACAAACTATTATGACAGCAGTTGTCATGATTACAATAGCCGCCAAAATAAAATATTTCCCTTCCAATGGCAGCAGCTGCATAATAAATAACACCCAGCGGAGGGTCACCAGTGGTGGGTTTCTGCTCCCAAATACCAGTCCTTAGGTCACACACCTCCATCACGGAACACATTGATTTCTTCACTTCATTATTATGTACTTGAGGGAGATCAGGCGGGTACCCACCCCACATGTACAGGTAGTCTCCTACCTTTACAGGGTAATGACCCCATCTTTCCGCTGGTTGATAGTCTATAGATATAAGGTCTATAGATAACAAGAGGTAACAGTAACTGAATGATACACTAATAGCAACAACACACGAGTCAAAAGCCAAAAAATACTAACCAGTTGCTTTGGCAGCCATTTTATTTGAGCCACGCCTTTAGACGTCACCCTCTAGCTAGCTAGCTCTCCGGATCCGGTGCATATCCATCACGGGTGTTTCAAATGAATTATTCTTGGACATTTAATTTGCGCAGAGAAATTTTGAAATTTTATGGTTGCCATGGTGACACTGTGCATAACAACCTTCTAAATTGATTTTTTACTGTCTTGTGGTGGAGCTACAGGGTCAAAGCGGAGTCTATTTGTTTTAGCAAAACCAGAGCTTCAAGTAGCTCTTTGTTCCATGTTACTACGACTTTCTGGTCAAAAGTTATGGATCATAAAGGGTGGAACTTACACATGAGTCTTTTAGCTAACTGAAGGTTTTCTCTGAAGTAAGGAACTACTCATAAGGTAGCCTTATGTAACCCCTTTTCAAGTAGACTGTTGCTGTACTGCCACGTTTTTGTCTGTTACCATACCAGAGCAAACAGTATAATGGTATGGGGCCACCTGGAGCTAAAGGTATTTTATGGACATGTATTTAAGAGAGGGGCCTTTGCCTTTCTTTTCTTTAATTCAGAGTTCAAGAGTGACATTAAGAGGTTTAATAGATTTGACAGCTATATTACATGTATATAATTCTTCAGTGAGGTTTACTTATTTGAAAGTAAAGAAATCTGGGCTGTTATATTACAAAGGTGACTCTATTTTCTTTATGTGTTCAATTATGTCATGAAAACTATTTTATTCAAGGTTTTCCTCTCTTCTTTCCTCTATTCGTCCCACTCTCCTCCCTATATTCCTCCCACCCTTTAT